GCCAACTAAGTGAAGAGGTCGACATATTCCGCCATTTCACTCCCTAACATTAAACCGGGAGTACTTGCAGCAGACTAGTTCTGGAGCATCACCTTACGTTTGACAGGCGCTAGCGAAACGCATGCCAAAAATACTCAGATTTCTGCTCAAAAAAGTGCCGTCAAACGAATACCCATTGAAGGGAGGAGAGTTGCTAAGCAATTTGGGGAGTATGTAAGCTTGCAAATAATCAGAAAAGAAATACTATGCAATATTAAGGTAAAAACAGTGTGATCTACTTCCATTGTCATATTTGCATGAACCGTTATCTTCAGACTGTTTATTCTCTCACACAACTTTGTATACTTAGATATCACTCATTTTCTATCCAAATGTTTGTTGTGTACTAGTTTGAAGTGCAGCAACTTGACCTGATCCACCTGAGTGTGAGGTTCTACGCTGACTTTGTCAGTGTTAGTTAGTTAAAACTATCTACTTAACCATCTATCTGAAGATGTGTCACTTTAGGTTGCGTGGAGTTGATGAATATCCTTGGAATAAAATTACTTCATTTTTATCAAGTAAATCTGTTCGTTCTTACTTTTTGCAAAGTGTAGTTCTTTGAACCTAGAGCAATTGCAAGCCAGAGTTAGAAATGAATGGCGCAAAAGTGATGGCACATACACACACGCTTGTTTTACAGAACACTACTTGAAATCCATAAAATTTTCACGGTCTCAGACACACACATAAATGGGTATAGTTACCGAGGACAGAAGTCAGTGTGGGAGGGTTTTCCTCCAGGTTTCTACATAAACACTTTAATGGTTCAGAAAAAACACTTTGATAATATGAATTAATCAATGAAAGTGAATTGAAATGCAATCAGCAGTCTTGTGCATACCTGTGTATCAGGCAATGAACCACACCTACTGCGTGAGGGCTAATGAAACTACCTGGTCGCCCAAACCTCAATAGGTGGGGCGGGGTTTGGACGTGTGACCCTTTCGTTGAAAGTCATCTCCCTAAACCGATGATCCACAGTGCCATTCCCTAAAAAAGCAATCGTCAGGGAGTAATTTATCCAGAGATCTGTACTCAACTAATAGCCGATGTTTATAGAATAAAGAAATCACTGTAAAAAATAAGCTATGTGATGCTGTGCTCGAAGACATTCCACACGGAGTTCGCAAACCATACTTTATGGTTGTTGAAACTCGTCGGTAAGTCATTCGTGAAATGCTGAAGAAAGAAACTAATTCTCCTTCAGAGATATGTGTCTATATTATTCAGTACTGTAGTCTCAAATTATTATTACTGATTATCATTTTTCCCATGGGTTCCTAGTGGAACATAGGGCAGGGCTTCAGTAGCACGTCCCCATTGCACTCTGTTCCCTGCAGTCTTTTGAACCTCCCTCCACGACTGCCCACAAGCTTTCATTTCTTCCTTACATGATCTCCTCCATGTCACCCTCACCTCGGACGCCCAACTCGTCGTTTCCCATTTGGATTCCACTCGAGGGCCTGGCCTGGCCTGGCGCGTGATATCCCCAGTCGGCCTTCTCAGTGTATGCTCAATCCAACTCATCTCCACTTTCTTCTGCATATTTGTTGGGTGATAGGTTCTTGGTTGGTTCGTTGGCAGGCCAGAGTGAGTTCCTTGTTGCTTATTCTTTCAGGCCATCTGATCTTCAGTGTAAGTATCGAGTGAGCGTAGGCGACAGTTGTTGATGAATGTCTTTAGTTTGTTGGAAATGCTTTTTGTGACGCGCCAAGTTTCTGAACCATAAAGCGGCACTGACTTGACATTGGTGTTGAAAATCCGGATCTTGTTCTTTGTGGTGGGTGCAGTAGATCTCCACACTGATTTCAGATCAATGAAAGCCTGTCTTGCTGTCTTTCCGATCCTGGTTTTGACATCCTCGTCTGTGCCGCCTGTAGTTGAAACGGTCTTGCCTAGGTAGGTGAAAAAGACTACTTACTTTAGGCTTCTCCCGTTGACGGTGATTGGAGCTTGTTGTTGCTTTTGTTGGTGTTGGTTAGGTATCTTCATTACCTCTGTCTTCTCTACGTTCACTTGAAGTCCTGTATTCGCTCCCTCTTCTGTCAACTTGTTAGTTTTCGCCTGTAGATCTTTGAGTTTGTGTGACAAGACATTAGACATAAATCATCATCGTTGGCGAAATCCAAATCTTCGTCTGGGGTCTTTTCATCGGTCCAGCCAGCGTATGTCCTTCTTCTCGCTCCTCACTGTTTGTTGCATGATCCAGTCCAGTCGAGCACAATCAGGAAGATCATTGGTGATAGTAGGCGGCAGCCTTGTCTTACTCCTGTCTTCACTTCAAAGGCGTCACTCAGCTTTCCGTTGTCGATCACTTGGCATGTGGCGTCTTCATATAGTTGTTGTTGAATGAGGTTGATAAAGGTTTGTGGTATTCCATAGTGTTGTCGCAACTGCCAAATTACTTCTCGGTCAACGTTGTCGAAGGCCTTTTCAAAGTCGATAAAGTTGAAGTGAAGGTCCAGTTGACTGCCATTCTATACTTTGTTCTATGGTGATGCGTAGCGTAGCGTTGCAATTCGATCCGCACATGATTTGTTCTTCCTGAAGCCAGCCAGCCAGCCTGTTCCGGTCGTAGTTTTGAATCCAGCGCATCCTTAGGTCTCTCCAGAATGATGCGGCTTAATATTTTGCTTGCTGTGGGTGGACAGCAGCATGATTCCACGCCAGTTCTTGCAAAGACTTAGGTCTCCCTTCTTTGGGAGTTTGACGAAGTAGCCCTTTTTCCAACCAGCCGGCAGGTACCTTTCCTTCCTTCCTTGCAAACCTTCTGCGGTAGTGGTGTGAGCATGTCCACCGTTGTCCCTGCGTCTGCTCTCAGTGCTTTTGGCGGGATTCCATCTGGTCCTGCTGCTTTCCGCACTTCAGTAGCCTTATGGCGTTCAGGACTTCGACTTTCGTCGGAGGGCCTGTGTTCACTTGTAGTTCTGTGGTTGCAGGTGGTATTTCTGGACGAGTTACAGGTGATGGTGTGGTCGATTCAAGAGCTTTTTGAAGTGGTCAGCCCATTGTTTCCTTTGTTTCTCTTTTCTTTGGTAATTATGTTTCCTTCACTATCTTTTATTGGTTTCGTCTGCGCTGATCTCTTCCCTACCAGATAGTAACCTGGTTATTTGATATAGTGTTGTCAGGTCTCTGTCCCTCCTACCTGCAGCCTGTTCTGCTTTACTTGCCAGTGTGTCGTGGAAGTATTTTGTCTTTCCGTGCACTCTTCTCAAATTCTTTGTCCAGTGTTTTATACGTTGTACTCACTTCTTTTCGTTGTGCATCCGTGCACTGCACTTGTTCATTTTCTGCTTCACCATCTTCCCCTCCCGTCTATCAGCTTCCAAGTGTCCGCCGAGATCCATTCCTTATCTTCTTTCCTCTTCCTTCCCAATAAGGTTATGCAGGTTTCATTCCACATAGCTTTCAAAGAGTTCCAGTGTTCTTCCACACCCAATCCTTCAGGGATGTTGCTCAATGTCTAGCATTTTGTTCTGATGGCTGCCGTGAAGATTTCTTTTGTAGTTTCGTCCTTCAGTTAGTTTCTGTTCCGGGTGTTGAACTTGAACTGTAGTCTATCACCAACTTCTCTGAAGGCTTCCAACTAGATTTGGAAGGTTCCTTGCACTCGATAGTGAGTGGTGTGGAGCTACATCTGCTCGTCTTCGTTATCTTGTGTCCAGTAGACTGCGTCTCCACTTTCTTCACATTGAGATGAAGTCGATCTGATTTTTAGTGTAGTGTGTCCTGGTTTCTGGTGAAATCAACTCCATGTCGCTTTGTGAATATACTTGTGTTTGTACACACTGTCTCCAATCACCAAATCGTTGAATGCCCAGAAGTCTGCAAACAGTTCTCCATTGTCACTCATTTCACCGAGTGCTTCTCGGCGCATGATGAGTTCTCTTCCTGTATTGTCCGCTCCCAGTTTGGCATTCATGTCATCTATTAGAATTTTGATGTCGTCAACTGGAGTGTAGTCTTGTCCATCACTGATTGCAGTTGTCTGTAGAATTAATCCTTCTCCTCTTGATCTGCATTATTTGTAGGTGCGTAGCGTAGCATAGCATAGCATTGTACGATTGTGACTTTCCTTCCTTTTGCGTTGAACCTTACTGTCATGATCCTGATGCTGGAGGAGATTGGTTGCCACTGCATGAGAGCCTTCGATGCTCTCAGGGACATCATGATATCCACTCCAAAACTCAGTGTGCTCGTGGTTGTCGTCTGGGTGACAATATCGGAGTAGACTATTGATTCTCCAGTTGATAGTTTGGACAGTTCCCTCCCATTCCATCTGCAGATTCCCAGCACTTCCATTTCATACCTCCTCATCTCCTTTGCAATCTGGGCTGCCTTACTGGGTTCAAACATCGTACGGACATTCCATGTCCCCACGTTTACTTTCGCTTTCATCGAGAGAAGACACATCAGCCAATTGGATTCCCGAATGCTTCCACCGACCGGCGTCATTTCGCCTCTCCGATTCCAGCGAGGAATAATTTTGTTCTTATTTTTTATATTTTGGTTGTGCTTTGAAGTTTCTTTATCGGTTGGATATGTTTTACGGGGCAGGGTTGCTAGCCCTATGCTCAACCTTGGCTGTTTATCCGGGCTTAGTACCGGCTATTAACTAGTGAACTAGTTAACCAAGCGAGGTACAAAATACCGGCATTTAATTATTCAATTTATGAAAACTAGTCCACTAAACTGAATAATGGTAGCCAGATAACTGTCCTCTCAAGTAGAAAATATATATACTTTATTGATGAGTGTTAACAAGAACTAAACTTGGAGCGAAGAATGCTGAACCACAAATGATCCAAACATAGAAATTTCTAAATTTGATTATACAACACGCCCGGACCTGTAAATAACTTCAGTTATTCCTAGCCTAATCAATAAATAAAACGTTGTCTCAGTCAGATCATCCACATGTAATTCCAGTGAGAAATATTTTACTACGAACTTACACAATAGCTGTTGTTATGCTACTTGACAGTGAGAACAGAAATAACACCACGCCCGGGCCCAGGAGACCGATACATGACATTAGGCGTCGAACAGTTAGTACACTGCATTGTCGCTGAATCAGTATATTAGCCGATCGACCAGCAACTATGGAAAGACAAAATGATTCCAATAATAAAACGTTCATATGTTGAAATATGAAAACTTTATTGAACAAAAAATTAAACATTACCTGAGAACAGTACTTCCATTTTATTACTATTTGTTGATATGCTTGTAGTTCTCTGTTGTTTTACTGTATCAAATTGTTCGACCTCTATTGACATATGGGCACCTATGCGGATGCCTCGATATTGCCTGAATATTTATTACGATAATTTACTTGGTTGTGGCTAGCAGAGGAATCCAGGACGCACCTACTTCCATCTTATTGATAAAACGTAAGTACTACGTGCACAAGCTATCTATTCTCAGGCATAGAAGATGACAGTTAACCTTACGAACAGAAACACCGATGAAGATGCTTAACATCAAGTTTACAACTTTCAAACTAGTATGTAAAGATGAAAAAAGAGTCCAACTTCAATGATTGACTAAGTAAGGATGGAAATACATAATCGACTATTCTGCCACTTTCCAACTTATCTGGATTTAGTCTTGGAGTTTTCACTGTCCAGACCCCAATCAAGTCGGTCAACAAGGTTCACTAGCCAAAACTCTTGTAAATCGGACCACGGATGTGTGCTGTTTATGAGACATGTATACAGGACCCCGCCAATATGGTCAATTCGTAAAATCCACCCTTTGAGTTTCTGGAGATTCATAGACTAGTTCTTGAGGTCTTGCAGGTATAGGTATACTACCGAGCACCAAGGCAGAAAGTCGTCTACTCGACTGGATTTCAGTTGACAGTCACCTATAAGCTGTTCGGCTGAACGGCACAGTGAGAACTAAAAAGAATAGTGAAACACGTCGTTGTCTTTTGTAATCTCTGCTTACACACCCAATGGCTGAAGTTTGAATGAAGTCGGAGATGAGTCCTATCGAGAACTGTTTAGTTTCCTACTTAAAGCCGAGCCCTCAGACGTGCTGGTTCATTTAGATGATTTCAATATAGAAGTTGGTAGGCTGAGTCAGACAGAAAGACAATGAGATGGCACTTTCGGAATCCCAACCGAATGAAGAGATAACGGCGATCACCTGCTACAACTGTGCTCAGATGACCATTTGTTTCTAGCCAGCACAAACTTCAGAGATATTGTCTGAAGTGGCGTTCACCGACCTTAACTCAGCGATAGATACAGAAAGACCGCATTGCTACCAGTCATCGTTGAAGAGGAGCGGTGGAAGACTGCCACTCCTTCTGGAGTACGTGTTTAGACAGTGACCACGCATTGGTTCAGGTGCGTGTACATCCATGTCTCAATGGACGTAAGAAAACTTTAGCGAGAAGACCATCGGCAGCGCAGCTGGACAATGAGAGCACTAGGGCTGCTTTCAGTGAAATGGCTCAACAGTTATCAGAATAGAACAATATCACTCATCCAGAAGAAGCTCAGTGCCATCTGCAGTCTGCTGTAAAAAAAGCGTAGAAGACCGTAGCTGACTCACAGAAAGTGGTTAAAAGGAGTCAGTGGATCTCAGCAGCTTCTTTCGGATTAATGGATGCAAGAGAGCGCATCCCTACAGGCTCCAAGTATAATCCGGAATAGAAGCAACTCAAAGTCTGTGCAATGACCACGAACAGGGATAAGCACCACAGATTATAGGAGCTTATGGTGAGTTGTTAGGTGAGCTGTGTACATCGAGTGGTACCTGTCAAAGATGCTTACTCTCAACATTCCTGCTCAATCTTGTCACGGACGTTCTTATAGAGGTCTCTCTCTCTTTCCATTTGACACCAATGGCATTGATCTAATCACAGGTGACTCCTTCGTAGATCTAGAGTACGCAGATGACACAAATCTGTAAGGCGAAGACGCTGACAATATACAGTGTCTTCTGAACACTCTGAGTGACAATTTGAAAATGTTTGGGATGCGTCTCGTGCCACTCAAATGCAAACTGTTGCTGCAAGACTGATCTTCAACGGTGCCCAAGATAACAACAGAAGGAAGTGTTGAGTGTGTTGAAAACCTCACTTACCTGGGAAGCCAGATCAGCCCCGACAGGTCAGTGTCGGCGAAATCTGTGCACGGATACAAAAGGCTCCAATGGCTGTCACCAACTTACGCCATTTGTGGCACCGCTGCTGTCCGTTATGGGTCGAGTGTACTACGCTGTAGTTCGCTCTGTTCTACTGTATGGCTATGAAATATGGTCGTTGAAGGTGGAGGACATGAGGTGTCTGACGCTTGACTAGTCAGTTGATAAAGCCGTAAACCTTCGACTGAGATGGCTGGGACATGCGTTATTAATACCTAGGCACCGTCTGCCTCATTGCACAATGTTGGTTGAAGCATAACCAGGTTGGACAAAGGCTCGTGGGGCCAGACTGAAGTGCGGCATCACTGCATGAAGTCATTGACCGTTGGTTTGAGCCACGTTAAGAGATGCAGACTAGCCAGTTGGGGTCCACTTGATAACAGACACCAATGGTTCGAGACTCTACGTGATATGGCTCAGAATCAATATCAGTGGCGCAGATTTATCTACACTTTATCTTCATCTTAACTGTCATACTGAATTTGGCATTTTACCATTCCTCTCTTTTACTGCTTCCGGCCGACTTTTCCTTCTTCATCTTTCATCTTACTACGTAGTTACTTGCTGTGCTGATATGAGGTATAGCAGTTTGGACTGTTACGCAGTCATGCCTGGTCCTATGTTGATGTTGATTGATTAGCATTCACAAAAATATTATTGAGTCCTTCTTCGACTATGAATTTTCCACTTGTATTCGTTGTAAAGTTTTATTCTAAGCAGAAATGCTGTGGAATATTTTCAGCTCGCAGAATAGAACACAACCAAAATCTTAACAGATTCTGATATACTTAAGGGTAGAATTTTAGATATATATGAGACTAACACACATTCGGTGTAGTGCAACGAGAAAATTGGACTGTTAGTACCAAGATATATTTCACAAAATGGTTTGAAACTTAATAGTGTCAATGTATTTGATAAAAAAATTAAAAAAACCTACCAACACTCCCAAGACAATTGCAAACATAAGGTATAGCTGTGAGCATTGCTGAAGATTCATCTGCACCGAGGTGGCGCACTAAATAGGTGGGCAGCCATAGCATCACAATATAATTTGACCAATTCATACTGAAATGAGCAATGTAGATTGCCCATAACGGCCAATGTGAAATGAAATCAGTCCAGCGAGGAGTCAATATAAAAGGCTTTAATACAGAAAGGTACAGTATAAAAAACAGCTTCATGAACCAAAAACCTACAAATAGATCTAAAACAGATGTGTTTTAGACGGAGTGCTAACAAAAACTAATCTATATAACAAACATTTCAAATCAATAACCTTTTTAAGATGGTAAACTAGTTGATACCCAAGACCCTAATATTAAGCTACACAGAGTTGTGATGTAGTAATATTAGACACCTTAATGCACGCAACAGAGTCCTGAACATAGGTTTCACATTTTCTGGTGATCCATATCAAGGCATTTCTCTACGAAAAACATGAAATCGAGAGTGTTTTGTGAGTGGATTGGATTCGCAGGTATGGATATCACAGAGGATTCGACTTACTTCAGGCTTGATGATTACGAGCAACAATGACTGTTCCTGGATACTCGATAAATTACCAATATTAGAAATACCGTGAGAAATAAAATAACCAATATGATTATAATTGCTGATATAGTAAGTACTATAGAGATTCATATGTTTGCTCTATAAAAAACAAACAATGCTTGTGTTAGTAAATATCTTTACAATAAAAATGGCAGAGGAAGTATCGTCAAGCAGTTTTTTTAAACTTGTCGAGTAAACGGTAATCAAAAAGGCAATGATTAGTGAGACCGAGGTGAAGAATGATGGGTTTGAGATTTACTCGCAAAGCGAACAAGTGGAACGAAGGGGAGAATACACTGAAGAATAGCTCAACTAACCGCCAGCGACTGTATCTAGTTGCGTTCTGAATTACACATCAAGACAGACCTTGCTACCTTCTTGCGCTGCGAATAATCTGACAAGAGGAGGGGCAAAAGGACCAAATGAACCAGTTTCAGACATATTTAAGGACAGTGGTCGAAGATAAATGACGCGACCGGTAGCTGTTACCGTGACATGATGGTCAGGCTTGCACATCACAATAACTCAATGAGCTATGCTAGTGGAACGCTTGTTCCCTCGAGGTCCTACAATAACAAAAGGTCAACTGGATAGCGGCTGGGTGAAACGCAATTATCATAAGGATGATGGGAGTCTAAGAGCGACGTCGGAGCTCTGAATGGAGGATGTGACAGCAGTAAGGCCTTTCACTTAGATAACCAGCAGTGTCACCCTGATGCTGACTCCCCTATGGAGAGGGGAGTTAGGAAAGCCCGGTTCAAAAACCAGCACACTCCTAACCCGCTTCGGCATGCCCATGCCTGCGACAAGGATTCATGGTCGGATCGAAAGCAAGAAACGAAAATCTCAAATTTACCAGACGGCCGTGTGTGACAGGCCTCAAGCAGACATCAATTCGGCTCTGCAGTCACACACTATGCCCTCTTTCCCAGGTACCTCAAGAAGACCTATCCTTTCATGGTGTGGGCAGCCGGGAAAGGTCAACTGCCCGCAGGTTTCCAATAGTATCTAAGACCCAGTCAGACATAACCTATTCTCCTCCTTTGCCTTCACCATCCGATACTAATATTAACCCCCTCACACTTTCCTCAATCTCTCATTCTGTAACCACTGTGAGTGATCAAAGCCATCGAAACCTCATTCCAAGTCTCCTAAGACGTCACTATCGACTTCATGTACAAGCTTTCAACGTCCGAACTCTGCACCAGGACGCTCGCCAAAACTCTGGAATCTCTAGCCGTGGATGTATGCTGAATCACCGAGACACTTATACAGGGTCCAAATGTGGTTATTAAGTTGACCTCACCTGACCAGTGAGTCTTTAAAACCCGCCTTACGAGGATCCAGATACCTAGTGGGTAGCTCAGGTGGACTCGGTCGTTTAAGCAGTACGCTTCTTGACTAGGTACTAGTCGACACCCGTCTATGTGCTGTTTGACTGAATGGATCTGTACGAACTAGGAAGGATACCTATTCGTAATCTCCCACTACGCACCCACCAATTGCACTTCGGATGATGCAAACGATGAATTCTATGAGCTGTCAGTTTCGCTACATAAAGCGAAACGTTCAGATGTAGCCATGATAGTTGGTGACTTTAACGCTCAAGTAGGGAAGCTGAGAGAATTAAAAGGTGTCTTGGGGATATTTACGGAATCCCACGCCGAAGAACCGACAATTGTGATTGTCCCCTTCAATTTGTCCTGATAACCGCTTGTTTCATGCCAGCACTTACTTCAAGCATGGGGAGAGATACCGTCTAACGTGGCTTCCGCTGATATCGAACCAACGATGGAGACAGATCATATTGCTGTAAACCAACGTTAGAGAGGATCGGTGGAGGATTGTCGCTTTTCGGTAGTACCTGTTCGAACTCCGATCATATGCTAGTGCAATATCGTTTATGTCTACGACCAACTATTCGCAGGAAACATACCATAATAAAGTTTGTCTACATATTTAAGGAAGAGTTAGCTAGCCAACTATACAAAACATCCAGCTTGAACTTGAATGGCTGCAGATTTCAAACTTTTAGCTGTCACCACAGTTGAGGAGACTGTTTCGAACCTGAAACGATGCTAAGCAGCATGACTTGACAGTTCGGCACGTGAAATTTTCAAGGATAGGGGTAGCCAATTGCTAATTAGAGTGACGGGGGTACTAGGCAGAGTATGGGAATTAGAAGTAGTGCCATCAGACAAGTGCACTTCACTGATCATCAAAAACTTTAAGAAGAAAGGAAAGTCTCCCTGTGACAACCATAGCGGAATTAGTTTGATTAGTATTGTGTGCAAGCTTCTAGGATCCAGGGTTATCCGACACCTAATTACAGCTAGGGTACACCAAAATCGATAAAACCAGTCAAGTTCCAGACATGGAAGAAGGTGCATCGACCATATTTTCACTCACTGGCAGGCCCTGGAACACATACGAATTCGCTGGCCAACGGTTACCCCTTGTCATACTTCTCGACCTGAAAGCAGCAAGTGACTTTACCTATCGCCAAGTGTTGCGACAGTATCTGACAGTGAGTATCGAGAAAGCTGAAAACCCCAATCAGAGCTCGCTACTCAAACTTACACAGCCATACGAGAACTTACGGAGAGTTATTATGTGGACTGATGACAACTAGTGGTAGTCACCAGGAATGCCCACTGTCACTGTTTCTATTTAACTTCATCATAAACGTACTAATGACATAACCTTAGGTTCGTCCGACTTTACAGTGATAGACCTACTCCACAGCGGTCACCTGCTTGGCTTGGAGTATACAAATGATATTGTTCTACTAGGTGAAGACACTGACAAAATGTAAAGCCTGCCGGACATGTTGAGCAGAAATCTGATTGGCAAATGCCTTACACCTGTAAAATGTAAGACAGTGATCCACGATTGGCCTGCTTCAAGTACTCCCAGTTCAATGAAAGGGAGCGAAGTAGGGGAATGTGTCGACCACTTCACTTGCTCGACGAGTTGCATCTATCCGGATGCGCTAGTTGCTGACGGAATCTCAGCTCGGATACAGAACACCCGTTTGGCATTTGACAACTTGCGTCAACTGTGACGCCAGTTGTCGAGATACCCGACTACCTGTCAAAGGGAGAGTACACTGCACTGCTGTCCGCCCTATCCTGTTGTACGACTGTGAGACATGCCCGTTAAAAGTAGACGACATGAAGCGGTTGCAGGGTTTGGTTCACAGGTGTGTTGGTAGCATTCCTCATCTTTGGTGGAATCACCGTGTGAGCAATGTTGAGGTTAGGTGGAAGGTACTAGACAAGACAGGTGAGTCGATTGAGGAGGTTGTGAACCTCATTTGACTCAGGTGGCTTAGACATGTACTGTGCATGCCGAGCCACAGCCTACTTCGACATGCCATAATAGGGGAAGTTAGACTGGGTTGTAAGAGGGTTCAGAGTAATCAGACGAAGTGGCACCAGTGCATGAAGCTCCTGACTGTTGTTCTGAGCCATGTGGAGGAGATATTAACTGCATGGTTGGGGTTCACGAGACGAAAGTAATCAGTGGTTGATGACATCTCTGAAAATTTGTCACAATAGCGCAGATGTGTTCACTCCTAGACATCTAAAGCTTCAATATTCGCACTAACCTAAATTTTAAAATGCTTATTCTCACACAACTTTGTCTTCTGCAATATCACTCTTTACCTACCCACCTGTTCTTTGTATACTACTGTCAAGGGGGGCACTGGTGTGCGAGGTTTTACGTTGATTCCGTTTGCCTGTCTACAAGGTCAACTTTAGCGTCAACCGGTTTAAAATATTGTGATCCCGTCTGATTGACGTCAATCAATGGTCGCCCGAGTCCTCTAGAAATCATACTGCAATAACCACAGAGGAGTCAGTTTGACAAACCAAGTCTCTAAAATTCTACGTTCTATAACCACCAGACATCTGAGTGAAACTCCCGAACAACCAAACCCAGGAAACCAAACACATCCCAGATCTGATCATGGTTGCATTCACAAAATATTCACTCTCCATCAGGTTCTGGAACACAGAAATAATTACTGGCACCTGATACTAGCTTCATTTCTTGATGAGATGCTGTCATCCGACTCTCGATCGAGGTGCCTTATTGCACTGTCTCACTGAAGGGTTTAATAGGCAAGCAAACCACACATTTGGAAACTGCATTCAAACAAATGTGGGCATGTCAGAGACAATGGAATGACATCAGATGAGTTGTACACATCGAGTGGTGTCGGGGAGGCTTGTTTACTCCTCCTATTCTTACTTATTTTCGTCAAAAACCCTGTGCATTAAGTCTCCTTCTACTCTTCTCACCATACACGGATTATTTACCTTGTCAATGGAGACTCTTCAGTAGAGGTAGAGAAGGCAGATGACATAGTCCTGTTAGGTGATGGTACTGCCAGGATGTAGAGTTTTCTCTAGGCCAACATTCACAATCTGAGAATGTTTGGGATGCTTTTCTGATTACCTGAATGTAAGTCCTTACTCCAGGACTGGTCTTCACTGGTGTCTTGTCTAGCAATGAAGAATGAAGTTGGTCATTGGTGCATTGACCACTCTGGTTACTTGGGAAGCCGGATCATCACTGGCGAGTA